CCCCCCAGAGCCAGGTAACTCAGAGGACCCCCCAGAGCCAGGTAACTCAGAGGGCCCCCAACACTTGCCCAGGGACTCTTGCCTATTCTATAAGCATGGCAAAGCCAATGGGATGAGTCAGCTGAGGCTGTTCACATCAGAGCTGAGATTCTATTGGCTGCTGACTCCTTGGTTGATGGAGGGCCAGTTTGTCTAGTTAACTGTCCCTCTGAGACACGTGACCCCCTTAGACTCCATGACATAGGAAATCACCTTGCTTTTCTGCCTTCACTCCAAAACATTATATGACAGGTCCCTTCCCAACCCACCTGCTGGAACCAGTCATATGATCTAACAAAAAGGGATGCTGGGAAAGAAAGCTTTGCCTAACTTAGCCTCCCTAGACTACTCTTCCCTCGCTGGAACTATTTTTGTTCCTTTGTTGTATTTGTTCTAAATGTACCTAAATTTTGTTTTCTCCTATTTCTGGGTGGGTGCAGGACTTCATTTCAGGAAAATCACAGTTTTGATGTATCAGTGAAAAACAACAGCGCTCGTCTCATCTCAAAGGAGATGAGAGAGTTCACTCTGGAGCCATCAGTGATTGAAATCAATACTATATATATATATATATATATGTGTGTGTGTGTGTGCGTGTGCGTGTGCGTGTGTGTGAATATGTCAGGTAGGCTGGTTACAGCAAATCCGAAATACATCCTTTAGGCCTCAGATGCCATCTGAAGCCATTCTTAGTTTTGGGGGGCTGGTGGAAGCCAGTGGTCACTTGATCATTGAAAGGATGTTAGGACAGGCATAGGTGGACAAGGAATGACTTATTTGACTGGGACCTCAAAATGTACTCCAAGCTTTGGTCCTGGAATGTTCCAGCCTCTCTCCAGCTCTAGCCAGTCTTATAGGTGCAGCTTCTTTCCAGAACTTTCATTTACGTAGACTTTGTCCCTTGGTTGTGCACTGTGTAGGTCAACCATGTTCGTACTCGGGACTTCGACTGCTGTCTGGCAGTTCCACTCCTGGCAGAGGCTGGGGACATCCTGGAGCTGGTCGTCAGCCGAAACCCGCTGGCACAGAGCCGCAGGACACCAGGAGCACCGGGCTCCAGTAGTCCCCAGATGCTCTGAGGTCATTATGTAACTCAGCTGGAGGAGTGGCCCCCAGTCATCCACTTATGGTCTGCAGATTCGACACCTGGTAGAGCGGCATCTTCAAGTTGGATCTTCAGGATGCTCAGAGAACCCCACGGGAAAGGGGTCATCCCTACTGCTCAGCCGGGAGAGCCCAGCTCCCTGCACAGTCATCTTAGAGTGGCAAGAGGAGTGGGGACAGCCCAGCTCAGTGTGAGAACTGCACTGTTTCCCATCCTGGGAACTTAATAAGCAGGAGGTGGACAATCCTGGTCTGTGGCAGGAGGCATTCGGTGATCCAGCTGTACAGACAGTACCCAGTGCACAGGCACCCTGCCACCAGGAGAGATATAGCACAAGAACAGTGTCCTCCCTTCTCCCAAATGGTGTCTTGAGAGCCTCCAGTATCCAGTGACCACATTAAGGAACCCCAATTAGGGACATGTGAGGTACCAGAGAATGCTTGCCCTTTCCTTCAGGTTGGTTGTTCAATCACTTCCGTTCTGTGAGTGATTCTGAACCCCAGAGCAGAGCTGTGGCCATCACCCCTCCTGCGCCACCAAACCTTAGCCCAAGTCCGTGTCCAGAGAAGGGCAAGGAACATCCGCTCACCTGCCATTCCAACAGATACGGAAATAGGCTGAGCCTCAGCTCTGCCCCTGATCCTAACAGCAGAAAAGAGGAAGAGGAAAGAAGCCGAGATGGAGGGAGGTCGGCTGAAGGACAAGAGAGTAGCAAGAGGGAGCAGTGTCCAAAGAGGCTATTCAAGGAGGTCCCCAGCATCCCTTAACTCTGGGTTCCTCCATCTCTGCCAAGCAGAACCCTTACAGCTTCAAGCAGGACTTAAGACACTTCCCAGTGGTCTGGGCTGGTCTGATGACTGGCTTCGTGTTTGCCCAGTTCAAGGTCTCAAGGACCCAGGGGCCTCCAACCCTACCCTGTCAACCCTCTCTGCCCCTGAAGCTCACTGCCGGAAAGAACTCCCTGTTCAAGAGGACAGATGGGGCTCCAAGAAGCCATTCTTTTCCCTAGTTCCCTTCTTGGTTGTGTAACCTTGATTGAATCTGTCAGACACAGGGCGAGCTCCAACCACCCACTAAGACCCTTCAGCTCTCTGCTTTTCCTCAGCTTCTCCCCTATCCTGCCCTTCATGATGGCTTCTCCAGGGACCCTTATGCCTGGGTCCAGGTAACCCAGTGTCCTACTTTCAATGTCCCAAGGTAAAAAGATACTACCCATCCATCATGGGCACCAAACAAACTAAGACCTTCAGCTTCAAGGGCAGGTGAATGGCACAGCAGAGAGGTGACTCCTGGCCACCAGCGCACCTGAGGCTGTGTGACCTTGGGCAGATGGCTCAGTCTCTCTGGATTTCTGGTGTGTGGCATGACTGACTGTACCCTGAAGGCCTCTTACCTTGGGAAATCTGTGTTCCACTTAAAGACTCCAGGCTCTGAAAATGCAACTACTCGACCACTGCCCTCCCCTCGGGCTGAGGCTCTCCCGTCCTCTCAGATGTATGCAACTAGGCCAAGCAGGTGGACCTCCTGGCCGTGGCCTGAGGCCTTCTCATATGCAATATCCCCGTGGCTTCTCACACAACATCCCTCCCCCCACCCCCCCCCCGCCGCCCGCGGGGCACACACCCGGGGGGGGGGGGGGGGGGGGGGGGGGGGGGGGGGGGGG